TCTATTGTGTGGTGTGTACTTGCTGGTGAGTATTTGCTTCAGGTTGGGTGGCTGTCTGTAAGCGAGGACTGGCCTGTCTCCCAAGGTCTGTGAGAGTGAGGGATCGTCCTTCAGGATAGGTTGTAGATCCTTGATGATGCACTGGAGAGGTTTTAGTTGGGGGCTATAGGTGATGGCTAGTGGCATTCTGTTACCTTCTTTGTTGGGCCTGTCCTGTAGTAGGTGACTTCTGGGTACCCTTCTGGCTCTGTCAGTCTGTTTCTTCACTTACCCAGGTGGGTATTGTAGTTTTAAGAACGCTTGATAGAGATTCTGTAGGTGTTTATCTTTGTTTGAGGGATTGGAGCAAATGCGGTTGTATCTTAGGGTTTGGCAGTAGACAGTGGATCGTGTGATGTGGTCTGGATGTAAGCTGGAGGCGTGTAGGTAAGTACAGCGGTCAGTAGGTTTCCGGTATAGGGTGGTGTTTTATGTGACCATCGCTTATTTTTACTGTAGTGTCCAGGAAGTGGATCTCTTGTGTGGACTGGTCCAGGCTGAGGTTGATGGTGGGATGGAAATTGTTGAAATCCTGGTGGAATTCTTCAAGGGCCTCCTTCCCATGGGTCCAGATGATGAAGATGTCATCAATGTAGCGCAAGTGAAGTAGGGGCTCTAGGGGAGAGCGGAGGAAGCGTTGTTCTAAGTCAGCCATAAAAATGTTGGCATACTGTGGGGCCACGCAGGTACCCATAGCAGTGCCACTGACTTGAAGGTATAAATCGTCCCCAAATCTGAAATAGGACCATTATTGGGGATGCTGTTCCTGATGGCTTGTAGTCCATCTTTGTGCGGAATGTTGGTGTAGAGGGCTTCTACATCCATAGTGGCCAGGATGGTGTTTTCTGGAAGATCACCGATGGATTGTAGTTTCCTCAGGAAGTGAGTGGTGTCTTGAACATTGCTGGGAGTGCTGGTAGCATAGGGCCTGAGGAGAGAGTCCACATAGCCAGACAATTCTGCTGTCAGGGTGCCAATGCCTGAGATGATGGGGCGTCCAGGATTCCCAGGTTTATGGATCACGGGTAGCAGATAGACTACCTCTGGTCAGGGTGTGTCTGTGTTGATTTGTTCCTGTGCTTCTTCAGGGAGTTTCTTGAGCAAATGGTGCAGTTTCCTTTGGTAATTCTCAATGGGATCAGTGGGTAATGGCCTGTAGAACGTGATGTTAGAGAGCTGCCTAGCCGCCTCTTGTTCATATTCTGACCTAGTCATGATGACTACAGCACCTCCTTTGTCAGCCTTTTTTATTATAATGTCAGAGTTGTTTCTGAGGCTGTGGATAGCGTTGTGTCTGCACGGCTGAGGTTATGGGGCAAGTGATGTTGCTTTTCCACAATTTCAGCTCAGGCACGTCGGCGGAAGCACTCTATGTAGAAGTCCAGTCTGTTGTTTCGACCATCAGGAGGAGTCCATGCAGAATCCTTCGTCTTGTAGCGTTGGTAGGAAGGTTTCTGTGGGTTAATGTGCTGTTCAGTGGTGTGGTGGAAATATTCCTTGAGTCGGAGACAGCGAAAGTAGAATTCTAGGTCCCCGCAGAACTGTATTATGTTCGTGGGGATGGTGCGGCAGAAGGAGAGGCCCTGAGATAGGACAGACTCTTCTGCCGGGATAAGAGTATAGCTGGATAGATTAACAATATTGTTGGGTGAGTTAAGGGTAGCACTGTTGTGGCCCCTTGTGGCATGTAGGAGTTCAGATAGTTTAGTGTCCTTTTTCCTCTGTAGAGAAGCGAAATGTGTGTTGTAAATGGCTTGTCTAGTTTTTGTAAAGTCCAGCCACAAGGAAGTTTGTGTGAAAGGTTGTTTTTTTATGAGAGTCTCTAGTTTTGAGAGCTCATTCTTGATCTTCTCCTGTTTGCTGTATAGGATGTTGATCAGGTGGTTCTGCAGTTCCTTTGAGAGTGTGTGGCACAATCTCTCACTACAGTCGGTGTGGTGTGTTGATTGTGATGGATTTTTTTATCTTCAGTCCTTTTGGTATGATGTCCATCTGTTTGCTTACTCATATCATTTAGCATATCTTCAGACTGTGGGATGTTTTATCACATGGTCTCTTTGTATTTGTGCCTCTAGAAAGGATTAACTTCAATCTTTACATTTGTGCTGTTAATTCCATGTGTAAATTAAAGCGGCATGTTTATCACAATGGCTAGAAACAGAATTCAAAATCCTTTCTGCGGTGAAAAAACAGTGAGGCGTCCTCGTGGCACCTTAGAGACTAACAAATTTATTTGGGCATAAGCTTTCGTGGGCTATAACCCACTTCACAAATTTTAATAATTCTGATGAATTCCTAAGTAACTCAGGATGGGGAAGGTGAGAAAGTATAGTACTTTTTCCTTGAGTGCTATATGAATTATAAACTCCTCACGCTTTCCGTAGATTTTGAAATTCTAGTTTGAAATACTGTCTAGATGTTAGAGTACTTGTCTAATGCTTCTATCTAATGCCCATTTTTCATAGGTGTGATACTGAAGGGGGGATATATACATAAGGTTTCTCAAGGCATGTTCATTGTTAATGTTGCGCTTTAGTTTAGTCTTAAACACAAGATTGGAACCTCACATCAAGATCTGACGAGAAGACCCTGGGTTGTGTAAAAATACCTTGTTAAAACTAGGGCTGTCAAGCGATTAAAAAAATTAATCGTGATTAAAAAAATTAATTGTGATCAATCGCACTGTTAAACAATAATAGAATACCATTTATTTAAATATTTTTGGATGTTTTCTACATTTTCAAATATATTGATTTAAATTATAACACAACACAAAGTGTACAGTGCTCACTTTATATTTATTTTTGATTACAAATATTTGTGCTATAAAAAAATAGTATTTTTCAATTCACCTCATACAAGTACTGTAATACAATCTTTTTATCATGAAGGTTGAACTTACAAATGTAGAATTATGTACAAAAAATAACTGCATTCAAAAATAAAACAGTGTAAAACTTTAGAGCCTACAAGTCCACTCAGTCCTACTTCTTGTTCAGTCAGTCACTCAGACAAACAAGTTTGTTTACATTTGTAGGAGATAATGCTGCCTGCTTCTTTTTTACGGTGTCACCTGAACGTGAGAACAGGTGTTCACATGGCACTTTTGTAGCCGGTATTGCAAGATATTTGTGTCAGATGCGTTAAAGATTCATATGTTCCTTCATGCTTCAACCACCATTCTAGAGGACATACGTCCATGCTCATGAGGGGTTCTGCTTGATAACGATCCAAAGCAGTGCAGACCGATGCATGTTCACTTTCATTGTCTGAGTCAGATGCCACCAGCAGAAGGTTGATTTTCTTTTTTGGTGGTTTGGGTTCTGTAGTTTCCACATCGGAGTGTTGCTCTTTTAAGACTTTTGAAAGCATGCTTCACACCTCGTCCCTCTCAGATTTTGGAAGGCACTTCAGATTCTTAAACCTTGGGTCAAGTGCTGTAGCTATCTTGAGAAATATCACATTGGTACCTTCTTTGCATTTTGTCAAATCTGCAGTGAAAGCGTTTTTAAAATGAACAACATGTGCTGGGTCATCATCTGAGACTGCAGTAACATGAAATGTATGGCAGAATGCGGGTAAAACAGAGCAGGAGACGTACAGTTCTCCCCAAGGAGTTCAGTCACTAATTTAATTTACACATTTTTTTTTAATGAGTATCATCAGCATGAAAGCATGTACTCTGGAATGGTGGCCGAAGCATGAAGAGGCATATGAATGTTTAGCATATCTGGCACGTAAATACCTTGCAGTGATAGCTACAAAAGTGCCATGTGAATGCCTATCCTTACTTGCAGGTGACATTATAAATAAGAAGCCAGCAGCATTATCTCCCGTAAATGTAAACAAACTTGTTTCACTTAGTGATTGGCTGAACAAGAAATAGGACTGAGTGGACTTGTAGGCTCTAAAGTTTTACATTGTTTTGTTTTTGAGTGCTGTTATGTAACCAAAAAAAATCTACATTTGTAAGTTGCACTTTCACGATAGAGATTGCACTACAGTACTTGTATGAGGTGAATTGAAAAATACTATTTTGTTTTTTATTTTTACAGTGCAAATATTTGTAATAAAAAGAAGTGTACACTTCCTATTCTGTGTTGCAATTGAAATCAGTATATTTGAAAATGTAGAAAAACATCCACAAATATTTAATACATTTCAATTGGTATTCTACTGTTTAACAGTGTGATTAAAACTGCGATTAATCACAATGAATTTTTTCATTGCGATTAATATTTTTGAGTTAATCTCCTGAGTTAACTGCAATTAATCGAGAGCCCTAGTTAAAACAGAACGTCACTAAAAGCAAAGGGAAGCTAAGAAAAGTACAGTTCTTTCACAGTTTTCCTCAATGTGAGTCTCCTTTTCAATGTATTGTATATTCAGTTCTGGGCTTCAGTGTCTTGCTGTCCCTTCAAAGTAATAGGGGCCTCAGACTGAATATGTAATACATGTATTCTGTTGTATTTATTCTTGGAACAAGGAAAATGACCTTTTGGTTTCCTTGGCAACTTAGAACTTTCTTTTAGAGTGATGTCAGGAAAACAAAGTGTGTTCCTGAATGAAGTAGGTATTTCACAAGCTGAGTCTAAGGACTGCAGAGGGGAGGGACTGGTAACTGTTGTGCTTCCAGAAACCAGAATAAATGTTCATATTTGTCTACAGTATTAAACGGTAAAGCTGCAGGTAGTGTGATAGAAGGGAGTATATTCATATATGATAATGATTTTACAAAAAACTTGGCATCTACAATAAGTTCCATCTTTCTTTACTCTAACTTAAATTTCCCATTAGGTGAGGTTACATGTAAAAGATACTTCATGCCACAGTAGCCTTTCAAGGGCTTTCCTTGGTGAATAGTAACAGTATTTTCTTTTTCTTTAATTCTCAGGAAAAAGAGACGAGCGAAACTTCACATTGAAGGAAAGCTTTTTTTTTTTTTTTTTTTTTTTTTTAAGATGAATACACCCCGGGAACTGTAACCCAAATGTTTCTCTGTCCGTGGAGAAGATTTCATTTTTGAAACAAGATTTCTACGGAAGGTATGAATAAAAATATTTACTCTTCCTCTTTAAAGCTCATTTGTTTCATAATAAATACAACTGTACAATGCATCTCAGTATTCAGAACTTGAAAATTTTACTTGGCATCTTATACTGAGAGGTAGATAAGATGAGAGTGGTGATGCTGGGAGGGCGCTAACCAATGTGGTTCAGCTCCTCTGCCACCATTTGGAGGCATGTGATATACAGGAGCTCAGTCTAGTTAATCTAATGATTGCTTCTGGCCTTAAACTCTGTAAATCTATGACTCATAGATGATAAGGCCAAGAGGTACCACTGTGATAATCTGTCTTCCATATAACACATCCCATATAACTTCTCTGAACAGTTTGAACTAGAACATCTTTTAGAAAAGCTTCCAGTCTTGAGTTAAAAATTTCCAATGACAGAGACTCCACCACAACCCTCGCTAAGTTGTTCCAATGGTTCCTTGCCCGGCCTCTTAAAAATGTGCATCTTATTTCCAGTCTGAATGTGTCTAGTTTCAACTTCCAGTCATTGAATCGTGTTAGACCTTTGACTGCTAGATTGAAAAGCATATTATCACATTTTTATTCCCCATGTAGGTACTTATAGACTGTCATCAGGTCACCCCTTAAAGAGAAGTTAAGCTAGATAGACTCGAGGAGCTCAGTCACCATAAGGCAAGTTTCTTCTTCGAGTGATTGCACGTCCATTCCTTTTGAGGTGTGATGCATGTCCCCTTAGCATCCGTGCACTGCTGCACAATGGTATGAAAGGCAGGGCTGACACTGCCCTGCCCCAAAGTTCCTTCTCATTGCCCTTGATCAGTAGTGTGTCAGCTTGCTGCTGTGGTTTTTCTCCAGGGGATTTAACTCCCTTCTGACCAGCATTTACTTGGTCTTGCTAGCTAGTATTCAATCTGAGCCAGCTGATCGGTCTTGTCTAGTCTATATAGGTTGTATATAGACTAGACCGTAGTGTCTGAGTGCGTTCCAGTAGTGCATTAAGCAATGTAACTACACATCTCTCCTGTGTAGTTCTCTCATCCTCTACCCAGAAGGAGAGTTGTGTGCAGTGGAATGTCTTGTTTTAGAAGTGTGTGTGTGTTTTTTTTTTTAAATGTACCTGTTGCTGTGTGTTCACATTAGAGAAAGCAACATCAAAGAAACATGGAGCAGAAGGTTATGAGGTTCTGAGTTCCTGGGGGAGTTCATTCCGCAGTCTCAGACGTCCCTCAGAGAAGGTTCTCTCTTTCGCATAGATAAGCTTTACTCTTTATTGTTGAGAATTCCACTGTACGAGAGGGCCATAGTTGTTTCCCCCATTCTTCATCCCAGTGCTTTAGATGGCCTTTTAGAAGTCCTGGGCTCAGGCCATGGAGTGTTTTGAAGATCAGACTGAGACCTTGAACTTAATTTGAAAATCTGTTGGAAGCCAGTATAGAGAGCAGAGGGCAGTTTGGTATGTTTATGGTAGTTTGTATTGCTGAGGAGATGGGCTGCAGTGTTCTGAACTAGTTCAGGTTTCCTAAGTGCTGAAGGCTTCATGCCCAGGTATATTGTCTTGCTGTAATCCAGCCAAGAGGTGATCAAGGCATGAATATCTGAAACCAGGTCTTCTTCCACCAGGATGGGATGGAGTTTCCTAGCCAAGCAGAGGGGTAGCAAGCAGTACTTGTGAATTCTGCTATGTGAGGATTCAGCATCAGTGAGGAATCCAAGATTACTTCTAGACTACGGACTGACTGGACTAATTGTGGTGTGTCTCTTCAACCAACGGAGAGTGCACTGAAGCTGCAAGCTCCTCAAAATACTTTCTTCTGCCCACCAGCATCACCTCTGGTTTGCTTGGGTTCAGTTTCAGCCAGCTGTTCTTCATCCATGAACTGGTCTTCTCCAAGCACTAGGCAATCTTGGTGGTAGTGCTGTGGTGAAGGATAGATAGAGCTCTGTGTCAGCTGTGTATCACTGGTATTTGAGTTCATGTAGACACTGAAAAGGAGCAGATTGAAAATTGATCCTTGTGGAACTTTACAAGCGAGGGGACTAGTGGTGATGCTGCAGTTCCCCATTACTACTCACTGGGTTCATCCCTCTAGGAAGGACTTAGACCATTTTAGTACATTATCCTGAACCCATGCCACGTCTCCGGCAAGACAGCAGAATCTCATGACCAACATCAAATGCTGCCTATCTGTTGTAGGCATTGTGATATTCTGGTGATGGGACTGGTTACATCTGTGGAAAAGTAGATGATCAGCTTGGTTTAATTAGCGTAAGTTTGGCATTGGAGCCTGTGGTGACTTACTACCTCTTTTAGTGGTCTGATGCAGATTTTGAAGAGGAGGCAAACTAAAATGGATACCTCTGGACACATGGGAATGTGCTCTTGGTAAGGAGAAGCCTGTCACCACTCTGGAGGTTTCCTTGAAGAGGACTGATTGGATTGCCTTAGACAACAAATGCTTTGACACAGTATTGCAGCATTGAGAACTAAGTGCAAAACCCATCTCACATTAAATAGTGTATGTAGAGAGACTATCTCTCTCTTACAAGCACTCCTACCTGTTAACTTTCAAATGATCCTCACACACAAAGAAAGGGGAAAGTTTGTTTTTTGTTACATGTTTTAATTAGAAGGGGCTCAGATACAACAGTTATGAGGATCATATAAGAAGAGTCCTGCGTATTTCATGATTTCATAGGCATAGAGTTTGTCTTGGAATTCAGCCCTTGATGGATAATTGTGCTCCAGAATCTCAGCTTTCATTTCAAAATGTTTCTTAGCCCATATAATTGTGGCGATGATTTTGAAAATGTGAAGTGTGCATCCAGTGTTGATTTAAGAATTGTCAGGGATGGAGAATGCACCAGAATCCTTGGTCATTTGTTCCAATGGTTAATTACTCTCACTGTTAAAAATTTACACCTTATTTCTAATCTGAATTTGTCTACTTCAAATTCCAGCCATTGGACTGTGTTAGACCTTTCTCTGCTAGACTGAAGAGCTCATCATTAAATATTTGTTCTTCGTGTAGATTCTTATAGACTGTTATCAAGTCCCCCCTTAATCTTTACTTTAAGCTAAATAGATTGAACTCTTTGAGCCTATCACTGTACAGCAGGTTTTCTAATCCTTTAATCATTCTTCTCTGAACCCTCTCCAATTTATCACTTGCTGAAACCAGTTACAAACTGCCCACTTCTCTGGTGTACTTCTGGGGAAGGAGGTTCTGAGCTAGGTTGTTTGGACAGAATAATGAGGAGCCACAGCCTGGGAAGCTGGGCTACCTGAAGAGCATGGGGGAGAGGGGAAGCCTCAGAAATTATAATTTTTAACAATCAGTAAGAACATAAGAATGGCCATGCTGTGTCAGACCAAAGGTCCATCTAGCCCAGTATCCTGTCTTCCGACAGTGGCCAATGCCAGGTGCCCCAGAGGGAATGAACAGAACAGGGAATCATCAAGTGATTCTTTCCCTGTCACTCATTCCCAGCTTCTGGCAAACAGAAGCTAGAAACATCATCCCTGCCCATCCTAGCTAATAGCCATTGAAGGACCTATCCTCCATGAACTAATCTAGTTCTTTTTTGAACCCTGTTATAGTCTTGGCCTTCACAACATCCTCTGGCAAAGAGTTCCACAGGTTGACTGTGCCTTGTGCGAAGAAATACTTCCTTTTGTTCGTTTTAAACTTGCTGCCTATTAATTTCATTTGGTGACCCCTAGTTCTTGTGTTATGAGGAGTAAATAAGACTTCCTTATTTACTTTCTCCACACCAGTCATGATTTTATAGATATCAATCATATCCCCCCTTAGTTATCTTTTTTCCAAATTGAATAGTCGCAGTCTTATTAATCTCGCCTCATACGGAAGCCGTTCCATATCCCTAATAATTTTTGTTGCCCTTTTCTGAACCTTTTCCCATTCCAATATGTCTTTTTTGAGAGGGAGCGACCACATCTGCACGCAGTATTCAAGATGTGGGTGTACCATGGGTTTATATAGAGGCAATATGATATTTTCTGTCTTATTATCTATCCCTTTCTTAATGATGCCCAACATTTTGTTTGCTTTTTTGACTGCTGCTGCACATTGAATGCATGTTTTCAGAGAACTATCCACAATGACTCCAAGATCTTTCTTGGGTGGTAACAGCTAATTCAGACCCCATCATTTTATATGTATAATTGGGATTATGTTTTCCAGTGTGCATTGAATGTCATCTGCCATTTTGTTGCCCAGTCATCCAGTTTTGTGAGATCCTTTTGTAACTCTTCTCAGTCTACCTGGGACTTAACTATCTTGAGTAGTTTTGTATCATCTGCAAATTTTGCCATCTCACTGTTTATCCCTTTTTCCAGATCATTTATGAATATGTTGAATAAGACTGGTCCCAGTAAAGACCTCTGGGGGACACCACTATTTACCTCTCTCCATTCTGAAAACTGACCATTTATTCTTACCGTTTGTTTTCTATCTTTTAACCAGTTACCAGTCCATAAGAGGACCGTCCCTCTTATCCCATGACAGTTTACTTTGCTTAAGAGTCTTTGGTGAGGGACCTTGTCAAAGGCTTTCTGAAAATCTAAGTACACAATATCTACTGGATCCCCCTTGTCCACATGCTTGTTGACCCCCTCAAAGAATTCTAGTAGATTGGTGAGGCACAATTTCCCTTTACAAAAACCATGTTGACTATTCCCCAACAAATTATGTTCATCTATGTGTCTGACAATCTTGTTCTTTATTATAGTTTCAGTAAGTTTTGTATCAATGAGAGTTTTCCCCTGAGCTGTACATGTGTGTGTTTTGCATTGGAAGGAAAAAAGGGAGAGGATGAAACATATTGTATGGCAATAAAATAGATCAATGTTGCCAGAGAATTTAGGAGTGGTTGTTTATAATTCACAGAAGTACACACTTATAGATAGATTAGGTGTTGCAAACAAAATCCTGAGGAATGACTTTTTAATTAAATAACTGTATTGTCAGGTGCAATTCATATGAAAAA